ATGCACTCTACCACAGGAGATAACATATATGGTAGCACTGCCCTTGTTTAGGGGTAACAAATAACTACAGAACAGTTTGCTTGCTGTTGTTTGTTTCATTTGGTTGTAGTTCCTCATTCCATGTGAGAATAATTTATTTGAAATTAATTTCTAGCCACTTCAAAATCATGCAACTTATTATTCGGGTAGCACAACAGAGTAGCTAACTGTTGTCAGAAAGACTTGGGCAAGTTGTGTTACCATTATCTAGCTATTTGATCCTGATCATCTTTCTCAGGCTCTATAAAACGGGGATAATGACAGCTCTACCTCAGAGCCTAGTCATCAAGATTAAATAACAGGAAGCACCTAAAGTAGTGAGATGAGGGCACACCGTAAGGGCTCAATCGCCCGCTAGAACCACTGCTGCATCAGCTTTGGTTCCCAGTTATTTCATCACTTACCTGAACCTCTATGAGATCTTCAAAGAATGAGCATCTACAACCATCGACTTTATTGTTTCTTGGAAGGTCTATTTAAAAAGTTAGGTGATGCCAGGCCAGTGTGGCTCAGTGATTGAGTGTTGACCCACGCATCAAGAGGTTGCCGGGGACGTGATTCCCAGTCAGGGCACATGCCCAGGTTGTGAACCTGATCCCCAGTGGTGGGTACGCAGGAGGCAGGCAATTGATGTTCTCTCTCATCAATGTTTCTATCTCTCTCTCTCTCTCCTTTCCTCTCTCTCTAAAAATCAATAAAGAGCCCTGGCCAGTTTGGCTCAGCGTTTGGAGCATCGGCCTGCGAACCAGGGAGTCCCAGGTTCAGTTCCCACTAGGGGCACATACCAAAAAAAAAAAAATCAATAAAGAAAAATATTTTTTAATAATTAAATAAAATGTTAGGTGATGGGAGGGGAGAGGAAGGAAGGGAAGAAAACATAGGAAAATTAGAGGGAAAAATTGAATAGTCTTTCTCTATGCCAAAGAAACTCAGAAATAAAAATTAAAAAAATAAGCTGCAATTACAAGTGTTGGTGGTTAGAGACTGCCAGGCACAGTTTAAAAATTTAACTATATGTGTCAAAACACATTCAAGTCTGGGAACACAGAGCAGAACTTTGTCATAATAACTTCAAGTTCAAATAGCAAAACCTACACAGAATTTCTTTCCTAAAATTCTCTTCTTCCTTTTCTTTAGTTCCTCTCTCTCTCACACACAAGATATTTTATTTAAATGTTATGTGTACAATTTCCTAGTAACTTAAAAGCACATCCTACTGCCACTGTGAATCTCTCAAACATATTTGCATCTTAGGTGTCTTCTTTTTTCCCCCCATTTTGCCATTTCCTTCAAGAATACCTGATGTGCTGATCTAATAATAGAACAGCAGTCTGATTAATGTGCAACAATGACTAGGAAACCTGGTTCAGATAACTATATTCTGCAGTTTACTGTGTGAATAAACCTCATAAAACCCATCAAGGACACTGGAAAACGTACAAGGAAGCACAATTCCATGTGACAACTGATATGTAAGCTGCTCATCCCCTGATTCACTTTCTTAGTTCTGGCCCCTGACACCAAGAACTCCTGGGAGAAGGACACCTAGAATTCCTTCAAATCTTTTGTCTATAAAACAAAAAAGTCCCCGTCACTTATTTTTGCTTTTACTTCCCTTTCCTTTGAGGTCAAATTCATAAAGTACTTTCTAAGACCAAGGTCCAGAAGTTTAGTACCTTGTTTTCTTCCATGAAATTTATTGTTTCAGGTCTTATATTTAGGTCTTTGATCCAACAGATATATGACAAGATGCTCAACTTGACTAGCTAAGTTGACTCAAACACACAGTCTCACCTGACTCCCCATAGAGGACTTATACTCTGAAAAAATGTTTTAAATTAAATTCAGATAGTGACTTTGTAAATATTTTGTTTATTTGAAAGATAAAGACTCTTCTAAACCACTTTAATTACCGGTTGTTGATAACTGATTTATCCCTCTGAAACATGCTCATATTTTTGATATCCAGGTATTCAGGTATTGCACCATCTTATAAAAATCCTTATTTGTATCTATTTTGAGATGATTTCAAACCTGCTTCTAATGACACTTCCTGTGAAGGAGGGCTTGAGATTGGTAAATAACTCCATGAAGTATAAAAATGAGTATTAGCATATATTTAGATTAGACTTCCAACAAATTAATGAATTAATTAATTTGCTTATGTTTTTGCCTTGGTTAACTGAGGTTTGGGATTTTGTTTTTTAAGTATGGATGACATTAAAAGACTCACAGCTCTAAAATTAACTTTAGAAATAATTATTTTTATTAAGCAATGGTTCTGCAGAGAAGAGTTGGAAAGTTCTTTCTCAAGTACCTTAGTTACGTAAAGAATTTAATGAGACCCCGTCGTCAACTTATCGTCAATCAGATGGTAGTACCAACACAGAGGCCTCTCAGTATTTTTATATTGTGTTTTATTGTATTTATAATATATCTGGATTTGGGCACTATTCTAATGCAATATGAACAAAAAAAATTATATGTTGACTTTGTTCTTAAACAGTTTGGAAGACAAATCCACTCATAACATGCATCAACCCAGTGGGGCAATTAAAAGGCAACATACCAACAAATACACAATGACAAAGCTGAACACCAACAACAAAGTGCTGACAAGAAACATCTCCAACAGACTTTGGGTCAAGATGGCGGGTAGGTAAGCGGTATCGCGTCCTCCCACAACCACATCCAAGTTACAACTAAACTATAGAACAACCATCATTCAAAACCGCCTGAAATCAAGCTGAATGGAAGTCCTACAACTACGGAATTAAAGAAGCTGCATCGAGACTGGTAGGAGGGGCGGAGGCAGACGGGCTGGTCCCACACCCACCCGTGGCAGATAAAAATCAGGAGGACACCTCGGCTGGGAAGGTCCTCTCTAAGGACTGAGGGATCCCCATCCCACACCAGGTGCCCCGCTCAGGGTTCCAGTGCCAGGAAGAGAAGTCCCCATAACTTCTGGCTGGAAAAACCAGCGGGAACTGAGGCTCAGGGAAGCTGAAGCGGCTGGAGCCCCAGGCAGCTCCTTAAAGGGCCCGCGCACAGACTTATCGGACTCTCTCCTTCTAAGCTTGGAGGGGAGGCAGCTCGAGGGGCGCCAGAGACATACAGGGAAGAACTGAGCTGTTTGGCACTGGAGCGAGGGCTGGAGAGGGGGCTTTCTCCAGGACAAACGTGCTGTCAGAGGTCTTTGTTCCTTTGGTGAGCCCCTCCCTGAGGCGGTAGACAGTCTCCATATCTGGGACTCCAGCAACCTGGCTCACACTGGAAGCCCTGCCCTGGTGACTCCCTGAGGCCCTGCCCCACCTAACTTTCAGTCCCACCCAAGCTGTTGCTAGTTGCTTAACCATGGGATTGGCCTGTCTTGGATCCTGCTTCAGGTTTTCCTAAATTCTTTCAAACAAGCAGCATCTGGTCTCAGATAGCCCCATACCTCTCGTTAAGTAATACACAGCAACAAACACAGGGAGGCAGCCAAAATGAGAACACAAAGAAACAGGTCCCAAATGAAAGAACAGAACAAAACCCCAAGAAAAGAACTAAGTGAAATGGAGATAAGCAACCTAACAGATGCTGAGTTCAAAATACTGCTTATAAGGATGCTCAATGAACTTAGTGAGGGCCTCAAGAGCATAAAAAAGGACCAGTCAGAAATGATGGATGCACAGTCAGAAATGAAGGAGGCATTAACTGAAATAAAGAATAATTTACACAGATTCAATAGTAGAGTACGTAAATCCAAGAAGCAAACCATTGATTTGGAATATAAGGAAGCAAAAAACACCCAATCAGAACAGCAAAAAGAAAAAAGAATCCAAAAAAATGAGGAGAGTGTAAGGAGCCTCTGGGACAACTTCAAGCGTGCCAACATTCGCATCTTGGGGGTACCAGAAGGAGAAGAGAGAGAACAAGAAATTGAAAACCTGTTTGAAACAATAATGGCAGAAAACTTTCCTAACTTGGTGAAGGAAACAGACATACAAGTCCAGGAAGCACAGAGAGTCCCACACAAGATGAACCCCTACACCAAGACACATCATCATCAAAATGCAAAAGGTTCAAGACAAAGAGAGAATCTTAAAAGTAGCAAGAGAAAAGCTGTTAGTTACCTACAAGGGAGTTCCCATAAGGCTGTCAGCTGATTTCTCAAAAGAAACTTTGCAGGCCAGAAGGGAGTGGCAAGAAATATTCACAGTGATGAAAAGCAAGAACCTACAACCAAGATTACTCAACCAAGATTATTCTAAAAGCTGTCATTTAGCATCGATGGCCATATAAAGAGTTTCCCAGACAAGAAAAAGTTAAAGGAGTTCATCACCACCAAACCGTTATTATATGAAATGATAAGATAATGAAGAAAATGAAGAAAAAGATAAAATATATGAACAAACAAAATGGCAACATATCTATAGACAATGGAATCTATAAACAAATTGAACAGGCAGAGCAGAAACATTCTCATAGATACATAGAACATTTTGTTGGTTGCCAGATGGGAGGGGGTTGGGGGAATGGGTGAAAAGGGTGAGGGAATTAAGAAGTACAAATCATTGCTAGACTGACAAACCTCAAAGGGAAAGGGGTTGGGGGATGGGAAGAAATAAACCAAAGAACTTATATGCATAACCAATGGACACAGACAATAGTGTGGGAAAAGACAGGAGGGGGGTGGGAGTGGGGACGAGGGGGTCAACGAGGGAAAAAGGAGGAACATCTGTAATACATTCAACAATAAAGATTTAAAAAAAATAAAGAAACATCTCCCAAACCAGAAACCATTACTAAATGAGGTGTGAGAGATTAAGCTCTTCCAGAGTTAAGCATCAGAGATAAGTCCGGAGGGCACTATGAGGGAAGATGGTGTGGTTATCCTACAGGAATATGTAAATGAGGTAAAAGGAGAGAAGAGTGTTTTTTAAGAAAGCCTGCAAACAAAATGTTAGCTTCTTTTCTACCTGAATTTACTAGCTGTTGTTCCATCACTCCACAGCCCAGAACTTCTAGCCATTCTCCATGGAAGTTGATCTCCATCTCAAAGGAAGGATGAGTAAAAGGAAAGTAGCAGTCTACCCATCTAATGTCCAGACCTGCAAAGATGTCCAATAAAAACAATGTTAAAAGACAGTCTACCCATTCTTGTGATCAAATTTACCTTTCGGCTAATGACATCAATTTCTACATTCCAAGTAAAATAAATAGCAAACAAATTAATTTACAACATGTTAGGGAGGGGCAATAAATTTTAAAACTTGTAAAAAAAAACTGGGTATGTCTTTTCCAGTATGAAAAACACTTTGTACAGTTCCAGGACCCTCTAAAATCAAATCAATCTCCTATCAAATCCCTGCAAGTACCTGGCAGAGGAAAAAATTAGGTCAAGACTATGGGAAAGCAGGTAATTCTACTAGTTCCTATAAGTGAAAATGGCATCTTTTCAGAGTTAAAGAAAAAATATTTTACTATATTGTCTTTCAAACTTGCACATCAACAATATGGCCAATTTAAGATAAACGATGATAGATGATAGATAGATAGATAGATAGATAGATAGATAGATAGATAGATAGATGTATATATATATAAATTTCTAAATCACATTTATAAGCGCTAATAAAAAGTTAAAATAAGATCAACTAAATTCAAGCAAAAGATTTAAAAAGTCAAAACTTTTTCTCTAGATGCGTGATAAACATCTTACTTTTAAAGAAATAAAGTACATGCTAAATTTCAGAATGCATGTCTCAATAAGCAATCATAAATATGATACTTAGAAACAATGATATTATTATTTAACAAAGGAAAAGACTGATGAATTCAAAACAAAGCCTGCAAAGTGCAGAGGTTACTAAAAGCAGAGGAACCAGATGAGAAGATGCCCACTGTGAGGAACACACCTGGGCAAATCACCTATGGTCTCCACCCTAAGCTCCTTTCACTCCGTGTAATGATCTTTCTCTTCTTTGGGACAACACTTCTGATTGTTTTTCTCCATGGTAACATGCCCTTCTGTGAATTTAAAATACTGTGTTTTCTCATTCAATAATATTTGTATTTAAAACCTAGTGAGAGTCAGAATGTGAAATAAATAAAAATAATAAGAAAATAACTTCCATTTATTGAGCATTTACTTTACTTCTATCATCTCGTTTCACTGATAGGGAGAAGAAAGGTTAAGTGTCTTGACCAAAGGCACACAGCTAGCAAATGGCTAAGCAAAACCCAAGTCTGCCTGACTCCAAAATTCCTACTCTTGACAAGTAAAACATTTCCCTGCCCATCAAAAAAAGATATTCAAAGAATCAAAAATCAGATGAGAAGGGAATTATGACATATAAGGATCTTTCCTATGCCCCAAATTATATAGGAGAAGGTAGATTTTCCTTTCATCGCTCTGTTTCAGTTGCATTTATTTTCGTAGTTCCTTGCAGTCTAAAGCAAGTGAATAACTGATTCCTGTTTACAATAGTAATACAATATTTCCCCCTTTTATTATACATGTGATATAATAGACAAATATCAAAGTGCACATATAGGGCACAGTTTGATAAATGTTGACATATGCATACATCCATGAAACTGTCACCACAATAAATACAATTTACATATCCATCACCCCCAAAAGTTTCCTCATACCCTTTCGTAATCCTATATGCCCATCACCCCTACCTCTCTCTTCTCCTCACTCCCATTATCCCCAAGCAACCACTGACCTCCTTTCTGACAATGTAGATGAGTTTGCATTTCCTAAAATTTATAAAAATGGAATCATACAGAACATGTACCCTTTTTTCATCTGGCTTTGTTCACCCAACATAATTATTTTAAGATTCACCTATGTTGTACATATCAAGAGTTCATTCCTTTTCATTACTGAGAAGATTTTGCCAACATTTTTTCTAACTAGAAAAAAAAGCTGGTCCTGTTGCATGCCATTGGGAAAATGTGTACAAGTCCCCAGAGTAGAAGCTCCTATGTGCAGAGCAACTACTTATTCACAATCATATTCTGGAAGGAAGGTATTTGTACACCTGTGTGATGGTCCATCTTTGGGACAAATAATCCCCTACCAATATTCGTATTAAAAAGCTCCAGAGACCATGCTGCAGGCAAACAAAAATGTGTGAAGCACTGGGATATATAACTGAGTGCACAAGGACTGGCAGACAAAACAATTTTTTATGATTCTTTTCGGTAACTCTTGGCATGTAAGCACAAATCACCTTCTGAAAAAAATTTAGAAAAACAAATTTGTGTGCAAAGTTTTATGTACTTAGCTCAAATTTGACCAAAAGCAAGAGGAGTACTCAGGGTTAATGTGATTATTTCACCGTCATATAATTAAACAGCATATAAGTGCCTGAAACATAGTTAGATGAGATCAATATAAATTAATTTTCTTTATATATCTTTGTTTTATTCCTTTGGACAGTCTAAATAAATAGCATAGTTTATATAGCTTTGTATCTCACATCTATAAAATCTTAAGTTTCCCCTAGTCAGAGAAAAAAAAGTTTGAGACATTAACAAGCCCTCAAAATAGTCACAAATGTTGATTAAAGTAATTCTATTACCAGTGTTTATTAAGACCAAACTACATCCCTACTGCACGAAGTCTATGAGGAGCTGAACCTCCTAGAGACAGGACCCATCTGCGCTGTTGGTACCAATGGTGTCATCAAAACACAAGGATTGAAGTGAAAAATGATGTGATGATCTGCCGCCTTCTTCAGAAACCTTCTTTTACCTCTGTGCCCCCTTCCACCTCCATCCACTCCGCTCTGTTGAATAAATTTCTAAGATAAGTTTTCCACATGTTGACTGAATCAATCCTTGCTCTTCCTGGGGCTAAGGCTTCAGCCAGCACAGCCATCCTACAGTGGCTCTCTCAGTAGCAATGAAAGGTTAACTGTTCTACACACTAGAAATCATACCCAGTAAAGCAGAAAAGGGCAAGGAAGTTAGCCAAAGTTTTCCAGAAACCATGAAAATGATGAATATTAATGATTTGTGGAGTAGAACTCATTGATAATATCACAGAAAGACAGAAAACACAAGATTGTCAAACGTTTTGTCTAATAAAACTGAGACTTTTTCATCCTTTTCACTTCCTCAGACCCTTCGCTAAAAGTTTTCTTTTTAAATCTATATGACCCTGCAAAGAATGCCAATCCATACACCATTCCTTTTCTTTGTCCTACTACTTTAAAGACATCTTCAGTTCTTCAATTCTGCTTCCTTCATATAAACAGGCAAAGCCAAAATCTACAAAATTTTTGAGAAGCCCATGGATCTACTTCAAATATAATAAATGGCTATTTCAAAGTAAATTATATTAATGTGCAATTTTTGACAAAGACCATATTATTTTATACATTCTAACAATTTAAGTTTCAGTTACATTGACAAGTTTTTAAATCACTGGTCACAGAATTATTTATTGAAGTTTTTATATTATCCCAGAAATACACTTTCATCTTGTTTTATCCCTATAACCTCAAAACTGTCGTAATAATTGTTATGTTGGGTTTAAAAAGCATCTTGACATGCATGATACTGAATAATAAGCTCAAAACTCTATTGAGCATGGCTTATTTTACATGTCAAGTATCAGGAGTCAGTGGAAAAAATCCACTAAAAACTATGTATTTTGTATATAATACATTAATAGAGGGGAATTTTTTATAAACATGTCCAAATCATAGGGGTTCATTATGCATTAGACCAATCTCTTATTGAGGTGATAGAGGAAAATTAAATGCACATGTATCATATATATCTAATGAAAAATTATGCTCGACTGCATTCTTTCGTTTTGTTTTATTTTGTTTGTTTAGACAATTTATTAAACCATATTCACAAATGAAGCTCAGAGCTTTGTGAAAACTGCCTTAGAATTCTGTGAGGTTATATCGAAGAGCCTAGAGCCAAGTAGAAGAAAGAGCTCCTTAGAATAAACCGAACCTGGATTGAAGTCTCAGATTTCTACCTTTTTTCCTGTAAACCTGTGAATGGGTTAATGAACCTCTCTGAGCTCCTGCTGCCTTATCCCCCCCACTGGGTACAGTGACCTATTTCATTCAGTACTTTTGAGTAAAGAACCCGCAGGAGCCCACTTTTCTCAGAGGCAGAGATCTCTTTGGAGTTTTGGGCACTGTCTCTGCCCACAGGAAGTTTTCCCTTGGTTGGGACCTCAGAAATGATTAGTGAAAATTTTTTCAGGACAGTAATGTGAGCCCAGATTGAAGAGGTACAGCAGAAACTCTAATTTTCTCAACTTTGACAGGATACTACAGCTCCTACCTGCTACAGAAAACCAGAGGCCAGAAAAGGCAGCACTGCACCTTGTCCACTCTCTATACCAGCCTCTCGACTTCTTGACCCTTGACAAGACCAAGCAGGAACACAATGCAGGGGTATGTCTGAGTGTATGTGTATGAGGGCGGGGCGGGGGGCTCTTCCCACCACTCCCTGACTGCTATGCAATGTTGCTGTGCCTAAGCACTCTGACAGGTTGTAAATATTAAACAGATGTCATTCCATCTTACCTCAACAGGTCACATATAAACATAACACAACATTTCATTTCCCTGACTCCTTGACTCATTTAGGGATCTGTCCTCTGTTTACCCCTTATATTTAAGGATGGAACTCTGCTCTCAGAACCACCTCTGAGAGGTGTCAGAATCTAAACTGTGAAAGGTTGATGATCCAAACTAGAGCATATACCAGTAATTTTAGATATCCTACGAAAGCTACTGTCGACTGAAGCAGAAAATTGTTTAAACTGACTATACAAATATACAGTTAATCACTGCTATTGTACATTCATTTGTCAACAGGTGTTCCCTCCACTGAAATCAGAGAAATAGTAGAATGTAGCACCCTGATCCCAGGACTACTGCTTGTCTTTCTGCAAAAGGATGCAAGTAACAGGGCATCAGTGAGGTCTCACATCCCTGCCCTGACCCACCCCTCTCCTTCTAGACATTTACAGGTAAACTTTTACAGTTTCTTTTTAATTACCAGATGTAAGCAAATAGCATATGCAAACATGAAGGTCTGTATTCCGTCCTTTCTTAAATGAAAG